TTATATTTCTAAAACACCTAGTACCTTCTTCCAGAACATGGAAGCACTGGGTTTCTTTGAATAAAGAGGTAAACTTTTTAGTATCAGTTAAAGTAACATATGTTCACCTATTTAAGGTTTCCTTTGAACAGTTGTAACAACAGATCTGTGTTTTTAAAAAAAAATTTAAAACTCAGATAATACTTATAGTCACAAAACTAGAATAATCCTTAAAATTTACTTGAAATGTTCAAAATGACTTGACTTTTGCTTCAATAATTCTAACCTCAGTCTATTCAATTTTATATGTGAAATGAACTTATTTGTATTGGTACTGTAGGTATAATGTTAATATTTTGAATTTCAGTTCCCATTAAGTCTTTTGAAATTAGGATATCTCGCCCCCCCACACCCAATAGTGGTAATCAATAAAGCTAATTTGAAAAGTCTAAGCTAATTTTTGTAATTTCTAGTCTTCACCCTGTCAGTTATTTCACTCTGTAAACAAAAGAAGAGCTAATTCAAAAGAAAAACACTAATTTTTTCCATCTTAAAATGTCCATATTTTGAAAGTCATAGCTTCATTACAACCACCCCAAATTTTAAAAACAGCAGAATCCAGGCATGGCAGGGTAGCTTGGCGGCTAAAGTCCTCGCCTTGCTTGCACCAGGATCCTATACGGTCGCCAGCGGCCCCACTTTCCCATTCAGCTCCCTGCCTGTGGCCTGGGAAAGCAGTCGAGGATGGCCCAAATCCTTGGAACCCTGCACCCACGTGGGAGACAGGAAGATGTTACTGGCTTTGAATCAGCTCAGCCTCATCTCAGCTCAGCTCCTGCAGCCGTGGCCACTTAGAGAGTGAATCATTGGATGGAAGATCATTCCTCTCTGTCTCTCCTCCTCTCTGTATATCTGACTTTCCAGTAAAAATAAGTAAATCTTAATTTTTAAAAAAAAAACAGTAGAATCCACTGAAATAAAAATACAATTGGCTCCGTAGTTTGAGATACAGTTACTGCATCTAGTAGTCCCACGCCTAGGTATTTCCCCAAGGGAAAGTAAAAGCCACAATTACCAAAGCCTGTTTCCAGGCAGCTATAAGTGTCCCTTTTTAATCATGAAAACCTAAAAACAACTCTAAAGTTATTTTAACTGGGGAACAAATAAATGATAGTAATCTATATAATTGAATACTACTCACTAATAAAAAGTTATGAACCAGTAATATATGCAATATGATTGGATCTCAAAAACAGTATGCTAAGTGAAACAAGCCAGACTCAAAAAGTCTATATGACACCTGTATGTTTCTATTTGTATGATATTATGGGGAGGCAGAATCATAGATAGAAAACAGATCAGTATTTGCCAGGGACTAGGGTGGGAGATAGGGCGGACCACAAGAGAGTCTAGGGGACCAGGGAAATGTTCTCTAGTTTTATTATGGTGAACTGTCTATGTTTATCAAATCTTGCTGAATTGTACATACAACAGGGTGGATTTAAATGTAGATTATATCAATGTAAACAGTGAGGAAATGGTTAAAAGTGAAAACTAATATTTTGTATTCACATAAAACATTTTTATAGATCATAAATTTTATTTTCTTCAATATACATGTGATTGTTTTTGAACTAAAAGAACAAACTTAAGTTAATATTGAAAATTTATTTGCCACATTTAGAAAAAAAAAAAGATATAAGGATAATTTTAAGACCTGTACCACATTACTAAAATAAAGTTTACAGCACCTGATTAAACAATAAAGAACTGGGCCCGGTGTGGTAGCCTAGTGGTTAAAGTGCTCACCTTGCATGTGCCAGGATCCCACGCGGGTACTAGTCATCCTGGCTGCTCCACTTCCTTCCAGCTCCCTTTGTGACCTGGGAAAACAGTAGACCTGGAAGAAGCTCCTGGCTCCTGGCTTCGGATCAGCTCTGCTCTGGCCACTGCAGCCACGCGGGAAGTGAACCAGCAGATGGAAGATCTTTCTCTCTGCCTCGCCTTCTCTCTGTAAATCTTTCAATAAAAATAAATAAATCTTAAAAAAATTAAGAACTACAAATCTGATATGCTATTAAAATATCATTGACCTGTAAATAGGGGTGCTGTTGATTGCAAATTAGCAAATACTCTACAAATGTTAATATAACATAATAATGATTAAAATAATATAATGTAATATGTTAATTTACTTGACCTGAATCCTCTTTCACTTACTGCCTATATGACCTTGGATAAGTGACCTGTAACCCTTTGACCTTTATTAATTGTAAAATGTAAAATTCTTGTAGAGATCTTGTTTAAACAGAACAACAAAAAAAATGCCTGTAAAGTACTTAGCATATACAAAGTGCCAAATAGGTAGCAACTGTTGCTATTTACTTACAAAATGTTGGAAACTTTTTTTTTTGTATGTTTCAGTTGAACTGAAAGATACAATTGTTTATGAATTGGGACTACTGCCAATCATCACGAGAGCTTAGGACAGGCTCTTGGGCATAGCCGCAGGCAGGGTGGGCAGTGGGGTGAGGGCTAGCCCCCAGGGCTTGGTCCTGGGACAGCACTGCCTTCTCTCTCACGTGGGAAGCAACACAGCTGTCCCCTCTTGGGCCACTGTCAGCACTGAGGAGCCGCCTCTGCCAGTTACAGGAGACAGCACGCTCAGGGACTGCCCTTGTCTCACCCCAGCCCTCGTCCACCTTCTCTCCGATATTCTTATTTCTGTAATTCCCCAAGTCATAGATGCCGCTCAATCTTCCCTTGCCCCGAGAGGAAAATCTTTATTTCTGCTTCCCTTAAAATCAGAGAAGATTTACATGTCTTGGGTAATGATCGTGAGCCTTTATAGTTACTCTATTCTGGAAACATTTGCTATTTTTTTATTCTTTCATATTTAATATTTTTTTTCTCTTTATAAATACAGGAATCTCTCTTTGAAGGAGTCTGAAGGCGTGATAACAAAGCAAGATGTACCTCAGCCTCTCGATAACTCGAAAGAAAAAGAAAACATGCTTACGGAAGACAAGTAAACTCAACCTCGAGTGGCCTCATTAAAAGAAAAAAAAAAAATCCAGGACGAGGGAGCACGTTTTGAGAGTTTGTAGTTTTATGGAGTCTCATTGCTTAAGCAAAAAGCTTTAAGTTATTTGATTTGCTTCTTTATAAAAACTGAAGCATTGCTTTCTCAAGGAACTATTCGCTTTATTACTCATTACGTAGAATTTACCGAGAAAATAAAAACTATGCCTTCTCCGCAGAAGTCCGGGCGGTGCGTGCGCCTGTTTTTAAAGAGTAGCTCTAATTACAGCTGTTGGCTGGGAACCAAGAGGAAAACCCGAGGGTCACGGGGATTCACGAACACGCAGCCCCCAGTGCTTTTTGAACACGTACTTCCAAATCCGGGCCCGCCGCCTGCTCCCTGCTCCGGGGTCCATCCCGGTTAGAGAGCGATCAGAAAGCTCGGCGAGCGGGCGAGCGTGTGAGCGGCACTTCGCAGCGGGCACCTGCGTCTCAGCCCCAAGGAGATGGAGTTCCCTGGTCTTCGACCTGCACATTGCTCCGGCGTGTCCTGAGCCGCGGCCTCGGGACGCGCCACGCGGGGCTCCCGCACCCCAGCGCCTCCCCGGACCCGCTCCCGCCCAGCACCGCCCCAAGCCCACAGGGTCAAAGCCGGGAAAGAAATCTACTTTCTGGAACACAAAGGCAAGGGCTTCGGGGGGAGTCCAGCCAGGGTGGTTAGCACAGAGCGATCTGGAACCTTCCTAAGGAAATGGGGCGTGGGGGGCATTCGCGCTCTGGAACAAAGTGCAGACAACTGGAAGCCGGCTCCTGAGGACGGGGTGTCCCCGGCTCTAAGGAAGGGACACAGCGAGAAACATTTACCTTGTGGTAGCAGGAATAGCTAGCGTATCGGATGTGGCACTTGACATTTCCTCACAGAAAAATGAGGAAATTTACGCTCAGTTTAACGGCGTCGGACAGGAGTCGGACGGGACAGCCCACGGGACCGAGGGAGACTGGGCCGGAGGCTCGGACCACAGCTTAGCATCCACCCAAGGCTTCAGGCCCAGACTCCCAGGCCCACGCCCGCCGCCCACCCTGCGGGGAGCCCACGCGTGGCCTCCGCTTGCAGCCCCTCACGGAAGGTACGACACCCAGGGCCACTGAGCGCGAGGCCCGGCGGACACCCGGCCCCGCCCCCGGACGCCCGGCCCCGCCCACCCACGGCCCCGCCCCGGACGCCAGGCCCCGCCCCCGGGCGGTTTGATTAATGACCCTCGGACCGCCGCCCCCGGCGAGAGCCCCTCTCGGTGGGCGCGGACCTCCGCGCGACCTGCCGTCGTGGCTCCAAGCCTATGCCAAGGCAGGAAGGCACCCGCATAAAAGGCGCAGCCAGCGGCGGCTGAGAGCGGCCGTCCACTTGGACTGTGGCTGCAGGAGGATGGAGTGCCCGGTGCGGTCCTGACCAGGCAGACCCAGCCCGACGGTTTGCACGGTGGGACGCAGCTCTGCGCGGCCGCTCCAGAGAAAGGTGAGAGACGCAGTCCGGTCCGCGCCGCGCGGCTTCTGGGCTGCAGGAGGCGGCGGGTGCCTTGGTCCGAGGTGAGGCCAAGGAGCCCCGCTCGCCCAGCGCGCACACACAGACACACACAGACACACACACACACACGCCGCCACCACCACCCCGGTCCCCTCTGCGCTCCGCCTGTGGCTGCAGCGCTGTCGGGATGTCATCTCCGAAACGCGAACCCTTGCAGCGCTTCCGAGCTCTGACTTCCCGAGCGGAGCAGTGCTTGTGCGTAAAGAGCTGGGGATGGCCCTGCGTCCTCTCTCCGTCCTTCTAGGGCGCCCAGCGACTCTGGGACGCAGGAAGGCGTCGGGGAACGCCGGGGGGCGCGTGGGGCGGCCGGGGCAGCGCGGGGGACCCAGGGGGCTGCATTCCCGCGCCAGCCCGCCGCTGCCCCGGGCCTCACCGCGCCTTCGCTCACTTTGCAGCGCGCGCGGGCCTGGAAGGGGCCATGGAGCGCGGCCGCCCGGCGGGCAGCTCCCTGAGCGCCGACGCCCAGCCCGTGCCTCCGGCCGCCGAGCCCGGGGACCCGAGCCCGGGGCGGACTGGGCTGGGGTCCGCCGGTCCCGGAGGCGGCGTGCGCTCGGGGGGCGGCCGGCCGGCGGCGGCCAACGCGGCGCGGGAGCGCAGCCGGGTGCAGACCCTGCGGCACGCCTTCCTGGAGCTGCAGCGCACACTGCCGTCGGTGCCGCCCGACACCAAGCTGTCCAAGCTGGACGTGCTGCTGCTGGCCACCACCTACATCGCGCACCTCACCCGCAGCCTGCAGGACGACGCTGACTCGCCGGCCGACCCCGGGCTGGGCGCCTTGCGTGGCGATGGTTACTTGCACCCGGTCAAGGTAAGCGGGCTGGACGCGACGCTGCGGGGAGGTGGCAGCGGCCTGAGCGGGGCTTGTTGGCGCGTCCAGGTGTCCACTCTAGTTCCTCCCTCTGGCTGAGTCGGGGGAAAAAACGGGGAGCGCCACCCGGGCTGCCGATGGCAAGGAGTTACTCCCTAACCGATCGCAGATAATAGAGTATGCTGGAATGTACTGTGGATTGCAGTTTCACTCTGACCCCTTGTAGGTTGCACGCCGCTCCAGGATTTGTGTACCTCCCAGTGTGAGAAATGAAGGGTTTGATTCCTCTTCCTCATGATTTTTGATATCTGACTTACGTTTATGACCCTTTGAGTGTTATTACGTGTTTTGAATTTATATGATCACATATCCCTTATAGTTTTTGAGATGTTTGAAAGATTTCACAAATTTTAGATTAATAGAATTATCTGACCCTAAAGTTTTCCTTGAAAAATACTATAAATGTTTTGATGGAATTAGAGCAAATGAGACTTCTGCACATTCAGTAAGTTGAATTTCAGTCCTTTGAAAAAAAGGGTGTGGTTAGATTGTACAGACTAGACAGCTACCAAGAAACATTAGGGGGAAAGCTAGAGTAAAATGTTTCCATGTGCCGTTTGTGTGTATGTGGACTGAATTGATTCAAATTCTGTGAACTTCGAAATCAGTCAAGAGAATTAATTTTCCATAGTTGTCTTACGTATAAATTCGAATGCTCCTGGTTTTCACTTCGTACGGTGTTCATGATGGTGACCTTTTACCTGAATTGCAGCGTTAAGTCTCCGTATCATCCTTTTCTTCTAGATTTGTTTTGAAGCCTTGCATTATCCGCTTTCTAGTCAAAGGTATTACTTTCTCTGATTTACAGTAAACTTTGATTTTCAAATATTTGTTTCCACTATTCTAAAGCATTGCATCCCTCTCATTCCCTCTCCCCCCCCCCTCTCTCTCTTTCTCACACACACATGCATACATTAATACATTCGCAAATCCTTAGGGCTTAGTCATAAGTTTATCAATGTTCAGGAAATTATGAGCTAATGAAACGCGGTGGAGCACACCCACTGGCATTATCAGAGCGTATAATTCTGTGGTGAGGCTTTGAAATGTTCACAAATGTAATCAACGTGATGACAGACTGAAGCCATTTCAAATACTACATATAAATGTGAAATATAGTTTATTTATAATATAACGGGCTCCATCCTGTTTGGGAGTTTTATAACAAAATCTCAGATAAAAAGTCTCTCCCTATAATTTAGGTGTTTTGTATTAGGGTGTGCATTAGGTAGCTATTTAAATGTGTCATTAATGTTAGACACCTTTTGACTTGACATTTGAAATATTCTCTTAAAAATGTTAAGCAGATCATAATACAAAAAGTAACTGCTGGGCCCGGCGCGGTGGCGCAAGTGGTTAAGGTCCTCGCCTAGCACGCCCGGGATCCCATATGGGCGCTGGTTCTAATCCCGGCAGCCCCGCTTCCCTTCCAGCTCCCTGCCTGTGGCCCGGGAAAGCAGCAGAGGACGGCCCAAAGCTTTGGGACCCTGCACCCATGTGGGAGACCCGGATTAGGCTCCTGGCTTCGGATCGGCATAGTATCGACCCGTTGCACTCACTTGGGGAGTGAATCATCAGACGGAAGATCTTCCTCTCTGTCTCTCCTCTCTGTATATCCGCCTTTCCAATTAAAAAATAATAAAAATAAATCTTTAAAAAAAAAAGTAACTGCTGATTGCCTGATAGGACATATAATTCAGAATCAAAGTCAGATTTTTCACCTTAGCTTCTTCCAATGATTTTTTTTTAACAGGAGTAATGTTAAAAGCGTCTTTTTCTTGTAACAATAAGCACAGCGAACATTATTTTTTGCACTTGATTTATTTAGCATTTATTTTTGCCAACAAAACTATCTTCAGAAAAATGAGATCTCAGTTGTCCCAATCAATTATTTTAATTTTTGTCTAGAGGTGCAAAATCAAGATAATTTCTTCAGTGGTTGATGCTAGTGGCTTCTCATTTTAAAGTCAAGCTTTGGAGTTCTATGATGGGACAAAGCATTGTTTTAGGAGAGGGAATACACTTCTGGGTCAGTCTTAGCTTCCTGCTCAAACGCACATATCGTAGAGTTGAGGACAGAGATACCAATCACAGTTTTTATAAGAGAATGTTATATTTGCTATAGAAGAGCTATAACTATGTAGAGGAAAGAGATTTTATGCACACAATCAAAACTGGCTATTACAGTATTTTAAAGATTACTACCAAAATGTATAATTACTAAGACTATTTTTGGTTAAAGAGGAATACGAATTTCTGAGTGTTTGTACTATTTTATTGAAGGTTCATTACAAATTTTTGTAGCCCTTAACAAAAAGTGTCCCGAGCTTCTCTGCCTTACAATCTAGTGTTTGTTGGTAAGCCATTCTGTGGATCAAATATCTCTTAACAAATATTTCAAGGATACAAGACTGAGTTTTGCATTATCTGCCCTTTTTTTTTTTATCAGTACTGTTAGCACAGTGATGTTGTGTATTAAGAGTATCTCTAGGGCCTGGCGCAGTAGCTTAGTGGCTAAAGTCCTCACCTTGCATGCGCCAGGATTCCATATGGGCGCCAGTTCATGTCCTAGCTGATTCGCTTCCCATCCAGCTCCCTGCTTGTGGCCTGGGAAGCAGTCGAGGACGGCCCAAAGCTTTGGGACCCTGCAACTGTGTGGGAGACCCAGTGGAGCTTCCTGGCTCCTGGCTTTAGATCAGCTCAGCTCTGGCTGTTGCAGCCACTTGGGGAGGGAAATAGTGGATGGAAGATCTTCCTCTCTGCTTCTCCTCTTCTCTCTGTAAATCTGACTTTCCAATAAAAATAAATAAATCTTTTTAAAAAGAGTAATTTTAATTAAACTGGAGGATTTAGAAGACTAGGATCCTATAAATACAGCCTGAGGCTGCCGTTTTTCTTTTTTATCTGTTCCCAGAACAATGAGTTCATCAGCACCTAGTGGTAACAGAAGTTTTGCGCTTCTGCAAAATAACAGGAGTGTGTCTCAAACCTTTTCCTCCTCAGCAGAATAGCACAAACGTCGTTATCGATTGTACATCCCTTAAGAATCATTGTCCACAATGTATTTTTTAAAAATCAATGCAGGGTTTTGTGATTTGGAGATCACTTAACTACACCAAAGGTTCATGTTTAACGTCTTTGGTCTAAAGTTTAGCTCTGGTTAATCCTGGGTTTTCTAGATTCTTCAAAGCTTAATGAAACTACATGGTTTCAAATATACCTTGTTAGGGAAAGTGGTGTTCATGATTGTAGCAATCTGTACGTTGCTAAGACAGACCACTGGAGAGGGAAATATAAATGAGTTAGCTGACTTTTTCTAGCATCAGCAACCTAAGCAACATTTAATTTACATTACAATTTGTCTCTTGGAATTATGTGTCTGCATTATTTTAAATCTCTCAAAATCATTGTAAGCATTTTGGAAAGTGAAGGATGCAAAATTCTCTTAATTTTTTATTTTATTTTTAATATTGCTTACATAGTTGAGAGGAATACATGCCCCTGTGGGCCACCGATTAGGGTGGGGATGGTTAGGTATAGAGGAAGGAGGGGAGGGTAAATGTTTCAGTTCTTTTTTTGTTTTTCCTTTTTCTTCTGTGTCTGCAGGTGGGGAAGGGAGTGGGGCCGCTCCTTACTGTCAAACTCCATCAGCACCCAGGGATTGGGGGAGGATGGTCATTTGATGATACCCTAGGGACCCTGATGTGGGGAAGAATGTTCCGAGGTGTTACTTGGGTAGTTTTGATAGTTCTGAGATGTTGTCGACTCTGTTGCTCTGGAGTTGAGAAAATCTGTGCAAGGTCTATTGGCTGGCCAAATGCAACTTAGTTCATCTGCGGGACAAGGAACAAGTTGCATAGCTTGCTCAGGAAAGTGGGACACCAGATTATTAAACAGGAAAAGTCATTTTATTAAATCAATGAGGGAAAAGGTAAAAATTCACCTGCACATGTTTAGGTTTACTTCATTAATTCTTTGTATTCTAACAGGGACTTAAAGCTTAGGTATCTTTATTTATCTCCCTGCTAGATGGAATGATTTAGAGCAATTAGCACAATATGTCCCAGATAGCACACAGGAGAAACACCAGGGGGGCAGTTGGTAATACTTTGATTTTATTTGTATTCAAATGTGTTTACTTCATGCAATTTTCAAATCGCATTTGAAATAAAAGCTGACATTTTTATGCTTTTGAACATGGTGCAAGAGTCTCAAAGGCCAAAAGAGCTGTTTTCTAACAGCCCCAGAAGTCTTGCTCTTGACCTTGGTTGTTTCCACCCCACACTGTCTGTTTTTGGTCTGCTCAGGCTGCTGTATACCCAGACTGCCTGTCTTCAACAACAGTAGTGCATTTACCCAGCGTCTGGAGGCTGTGAGACCCAAGCAATTTCCTCAAGTCCCTCCCCAAATCCCCAGCACGTCTCGGGTTAGTGTTCAACATACGTGTTTAGGAGGACACGTGTAGTCCCTAACACCACAGTACTGGTTTCTTTGCATACAGGAAGAAACAAGTCTGATTTCACAAAGCCTATTCTGACATGTCAGAAGACCCTCGGGGCAGTTTCTAAAACACCACCATCTCCAACTCTGCAGACTAGGACATCTTGGACTATTTAAGAACGCACTTTTCATTTTTTTGTAAAGTGGATTTGTAAGAATGAGCAGCTCAGTTTCATCTCTGACTCAGCTCCTTGCTAATGGCTTTAGGAAAAAAAAAAAAAACAAAAGACGGCCCAAGTATTTGGGCCCCTGCCACTCATGTGGGAGACCCAGATGACGACACTCCCAACTCTTGGCTTCAACTCAGCTCAGCCCTGGCTGTTGAGGCCATCTGGGGAGTTAACCAGCAAACGGAAGATCTCTCTCTCTCTCTCTGTGTAACTCAAATGAACAAATCTTCAAAACAAACCCATATCAAATATAATATCCCCTATAATTTGTAAGCAAAATGTAGGAGTAGACCATTTTAAATTCCCAAGTACAAATTTTATCTGCGTTTAAAGTATAACACAGAATAATCTGAATATAAGACTCTTTTTAAAAAGATACATTTTTTATTTTTATTGGAAAGGCAGATATACTAAGAGGAGACAGCAAACTGTCCACTGGTTCACTCCCCAAGTGGCCATAATGTCTAGAGCTGACCCATCTGAAATCAGGAGCCCGAATCCTCTTCAGGGTCTCCCACGCAGGTGCAGGGTCCCAAAGCTTTGGGGCGTCCTCGACTGCTTTCCCAGGCCACAAGCAGGGAGCTAGATGGGAAGCAGGGCTGCTGGAATTAGTACTGGCACCCATATGGGATCCCAGCATACACAAGGATAGGACTTAGCTGCTAGGCTACCATACCGGGCCCTGAATGTAAGATTCTTAAATAATTTGAACAACATGGGGACAAATTTGCTTAGCACATTTGGAGACACAATAGTATGTTCTGCTGGCTGCCACAGAACAGAAACTCTCAGGTAATATCATATGCCCACATCTTATGCTTTAGAGTTGTGTTTGCATTTGGATTTTAAATTTAAGTGAAAATGTGCTCAGAAATACAATGAGGAGGGCCCAGCTCGGTAGCCTAGTGGCTAAAGACCTTGTCTTGCATGTGCTGGGATCCGATATGGGCACCAGTTCATGTCCTGGCTGCTCTGCTTCCAATCCAGCTCCCTGTTTGTGGCCTGGGAAAGCAGTCGAGGACGGCGCAGAGCCTTGGGACCTTGCACCTGTGTAGGAGACCTAGAAGCAGCTCCTGGCTCCTGGCTTTAGATCAGCTCAGCTGTGGCTGTTGCAGCCAGTTAAAGTGAACCAGAGGATGAAAGATCTTTTTTTACCTCCTTCTCTCTGTAAATCTGACTTCCAATAAAAATAAATAAATCTTAAAAAACAAAAAGCAAACAAAAAAGAAATACAATGAGGGTTGAGATTCATCCAGCTGGGATCTGACTTTACTGCTTCTAGGTGTGACTGGTTGTCATAGGGCCTTTTAGGTAACACGTGTACCTCTATTTGTACTGACTTTGTGATTCTTATTTACATATTCTTTTTCAGAAATGGCCCATGCGATCAAGATTATACATTGGTGCTACTGGTCAATTCCTGAAGAATTCTGTCCCTGGAGAAAAGGCCAGTCACAGTGACTCTCCCACCAACGCGCAGCCTTAGCATCAGCCTGGGGAGGCACGGGGCGGGGCTGGTGGAGGAGCACGTGTTCTTAAATGTTATGAAATAACTCTATATTTATTACATCAACCATAACAAGCACCATATCTGAAAGTTTAAATCTGAACCTGCATTTTAAACACGCACAGTGTATTTATTCATTGTGAGAGTCACTGCTGTATTGTGCAAGAGAAATTATTAGGAACAAAGATGTAAAAGTGAACAATTGTGTATATATGTGTGTGTTATATGTCCTAAGAGTACACATTATTGGCAGTGTATTTATTAAAAACAAAAGCTTGCATCTATCAATGCATCAATTTTCCTAGTTTCAAAAAAAAAATCTGTGTCTGTAGTTTACAGTTCCATTTTTGTGATAAGCAGTTGTATTTACAGTTCTCCTATGAAGCCATTTCATTTGGAAGTTATGAGGACATTTATTTAGCTAAGTAAAATATTTGTGAAAAGATTAAAGTAATATAGAATGTGGTAACTTCCATCACTGCTTCTTTTTCCCTCTTAAAAAAACTTTCTTGGAGTATCAGAAATGATGTGCTTCATACGTTAGCACATGGCCACCTCCCTAGAGGTTTATTCAAGTGGTGGAAGACACTAGGAATTTCTGCACACAAGGGTGTCACAGGACGGCAGATGCATCTCAGTCTCCTCCTTGGTCCCTCCATCTCTGCTCCCCCTCCCTCAGCTCCTGGGGAGTAAACAGGTTCAGCTGCAACTGCCCTGAAGACAGTGGCACGTTCCGGGTTGGCAGGAGCCTCCGGTGAGTCCCCACAACCCCCCTCTCCAGCAGTGCTGCAGGCAGGCTCCTCCTTCCTTCACATGTGTTGTTCATCCACCTACATGACCACTGTGAAATGGAAGACACCCTGTATGGAATGGGAGTGCTGGCACTGATCTATACCGCGAAGGGTCTGCGGACACAGAATGACCATCCTGAGACAAATCAGCTGGAGCAGGGTCTTTTCAATCTGCCCCAGTAGGAGCCTCAGCTGGAGAAGCCCTGTCCAGGTTGGCTTCTCCCTGTCAAGGCAGTGGATGGACTGCCTCGGGGGTTTGGTTCTTCAATGGGAACCTAGGTGTCAGAACCTTGAAGTAGAGATTGTTGATTGGGACATCATGAATCCTAAAACCTTGGAGTAGAGGAGACACCTGAGAACAGCTCCAGCTGCACCTGCTGCTTTTCCCCTCCTCCCCTTAAACTTTACTGTTGCCCTTTCCAACTGTGAAGCTCATGGATTTCTTAATAGCCCATGGTTGTACGGCTGTGGGGTTCAATCCATGATAACTGAATAGATAAGGTATGTTAGCAGTCTAAGCTGAGTTACTATAGCAATAGAAGAGCCATTTTATTTTATTTTCATTTCTGTTTTCTTCCAGCTTTTGACAATGAAATGAGGTAAAAAAAAAAATCATTTGAAGGCAAAAGCTGGCATTCAGTTGATTCAAGTGAATACAATTGTTTAATTCATATGATAGGTTATTATGTTTTATTATTTCAATGTGAACATACTCCTTAAAATATGAGCAAAGCTTGTCCTTTAAGAGAAAATGCATATAATAAAAACTTTCTACATACCAATAGGTAGCAAAGTGCTTTTTATGTCCAGGGACTTGTGAATAAATTTGCCAACTCAATTGATATAAACAGATCTACAGAGCAAGATAACAATTGGATTCAACCACTCATTGGATGTTTTTCACATTAGAAAAGTTAAAAATTATCTTAATGAATGATATCAAAATTTCTTTAAAGCTATATTAACCTGTACTATAAGCAGTAGGTTTGAGAATGCGATTTGTTAGTGGCAGTCTGTTGCTATAATTTTTAAAGCATTAATTGGAGAAAAAGCTGACTTGATGAATTATTAGCTTTTCTAAATGATTCTGTTAAATAGATGGTAGAACTTTCCCTTTGATGGTATTACTTTTTGTTTCTTCTTGTCCAGTTACAAATGTTTTAATACCAAAGAAATGAATTACTTTCCTATATTTTCATAACGTTTTTATTAAATTGCTAAATATGCTAACAGCTTCTAGTAGGTTGGAAAGTCTTGAAAGTTGTATAGTTTACCCCAGAGTTTCAAAGGAGCATGCGGTTTCAATTAATGGTACATGAACAGGACAAAATAAAGCAATGACTTGAAAATTAACTTAGTCTGATAAACTTGTATCTGTGAATTTTTTCAAGATTTATTTATTTGAGAGGCTGGGCAGTAGAAAGACCCAAAAAGAGGGTTTTTCCATATACTAGTTCACTCCCCAGATGACCGTAACTGCCATGCCTGGGCCAGGCCAAAGGCCCAGGAGTCAGGAATATCTTTGAGGTCTCCTACTTTCGTGGCAGGGGACCAAACACTTGGAACCATCGTCCTTTACCTTCTCAGGCTTATCAGCAGGAAACAGATGGGAAACAAAGGAGCCAGGGCTCAGACTGTAACTAGTGTTGGGATATGGAATGCTGCTATAACCTGCTATCCCACAATTCTGGCCCCATCATTGGATATTTAACAGACACTGCCTTAGCTGTAAGCAACTGCCTAGATTGCCTTGTACCTGGGCAAATGTCACACTGCTGGGAGAAAAGCAGCCAACAGCTTGTAGGCATTCTGGCTGCTTAATGCCAAATTTATGTTAACTACACCAGTGTGCCAGCATAGTTGCTTTTTTTTTTTTAAAGATATGTAGGGAAGTTTACTCCAAGGCTCATGCCAGTCCCAGGCAGGGCCCCATGCTGTTGCAGCTGTTGCCACTACCAGCCCCTCCAGAAGACAGCCAGGGCCTGTGCCCACAGAGCAGGGGGTTGGGTGGGAGGAGAGACTGCAGATTACTGGCGATGGAGCTTGGGGATGTGAGGGAATGGAGGCCACCAAAGGAATACTTTACAGGTTTGGAATGACTTCTAGGAGCTTCCAAGAATCAGGCTACTGCACTCACAAGTAAACAAGGAAGCCAAGATCAAGTGTTTTAGAGGGGAAATCAGAGGGTATGTCTGGATCAGACCAATGTACCTGCCCATGTGGGAGACAAGGCCTGGGCTAAACAGCATCATCCACTGCCCACCAGTACACACAAAAGCTAGGACTACCCACCAGTGTGTTGGGGTAGTGGATGGGCCACACAAGGCTAGATCATAACACCAACCAGCACACTAGAGAACTAGGCCTGGGAGCTAATTCTGTAGGGGATATATGGGATCTCCCCTGTGGGTCTGCAATACCCACTGGTTTGCACAAGAGGTGGAAGTAGTTGCTGGCTAAGTTAGGCATGACCATATAACTCACTGACACTGGAACTGGGGTTGGGAGCAGGCAGGGCTGGCCCAGACTGTAGCACCCCTGGGCACACCTGAGAATTGGGTCTGGAGGTGAGCCGGACTGAAGCATACACCAGCACATGCAAAGACCAGACTGGGGGTGGACTAGGCCAGGCAGGGTCCTACCACTCACTGGTCCACATGAGAGCTGAGTCTGGGGGTGGGCCAGGGCTGTAACACCCACTGGTTAGAGGCAGAATGGGTGCAGGCTGGTCAGACAGGGCTGCAGTACCTGCTAGTGAATGCTCAAACTGAAATAGGCCATGTCAGGCTGAGCACAGTATCCAATGGTGCATATGAGATCAGGGCTGGGAGTTGGTCTGATAGGGTAACTTGGGAAGCTCCCCTATTAGGCCCCACTACTACTGCTGAACTGTGAGAGTTGAGGTTGGCAGCAGCCCAGACGAGGCTGGGCAACTGTACCCATTGACATACATGTGGGCCAAGTCTTAGTGTGAGAGCCAGGACAGGGTATAGGCTGGGCCAAGTTGAGTTGCAAAACCCACAGATTCATATGAGGGCTGGGTTAATCTGCAACATCCACTAGCATAAGCTGGCACTAGGGACAAGTCAGGAGGAGCACCCACCAGTGATGTGGCAAGGAGAGCCATGCTAGACTGGGCTACAGCACTATTGGCACATGTAAGATCCAGGACTGGGGGCAAGCCTGGTAAGGGAACTTCAGACACTCCCCTGATAAGCCACTGTTCCCACTGGTGAGTGTGACAGCTGGGGGTGAGGGAGGATAAGACTGAGCAGCCTGCAACACCAGTTGGGCTGCATTTGAGCTGGGTTTAGGTCAAGGCCAAGCTAGCCTAGGCCATTGCATCAACTCACATGTAAGAATCAAAATAAGTGTGGACCAGCCAGGCTTTGCTGTAGCATCTACTGATAAGTGCTGGGACTGGATGTAAGCAGTATCAGGCTGGACTATAGTACCCCCTCGAATACATGAGAACTGGGGCTGGGAATGGACCCAGGAGTGGAATTGTGGGCACTCTGCTGGCCTTCAGTTCCCACTGGTGAGCATGAGAGCCAGGGTTGTGGGTGGGCTGGGCTGGATAAGGTGACAGCATCCATCAACATATGTCTGGGGGTTGGTTGGGCTGAGCTAAGCTGCAGTACCTATGAGTATGTATGGCAACCAGATGAGATGCTGGACAGGCTGGACTATCTTCAGCCAGAACACTGCACATGCCAGAACACTCGGGAAAGAGGGTCGGGGCAGGCCAGGTGGGGGATACTGGAAGTTTTCTTGACTAGGTTGCAGTTCCTGCTAGTGTGCATATGGTGGGCTGGGTTAGCTAGGCTACAGCACCGATCAGCTTGCATGGGAGGTGGGGGTAAGGACAACACTGAGCAGGCAACTGTATCCACTGGAATGTGCATTCACTGGCATGTGCATAGAATGATGAGGGTGACATACTGAACCAAGTGCTGCATTAGCTGGATTACACAACAGTCAGGTTTGGGGTCACCCTAGGTGAGGTCTCTTGATGGACTCCCCAACTATACTGCTGGACTCAAACTCCAGACACAGGGAAAAATCACAGTATCCTGTGATTTGTGGTCCAACCTTGGAGTGAACGTATCAGGACTGGGCCTCATCAGTTATGATGCCCGTGCAGTGGACAGCATGCTGGGATGCACACAGGGGACATAATAGCCAGGTC